AAATTTTTTACGCTGAGGGTGGTGAAACAGTGGAACAGGTTCCCCAGAGAGGTGGTATATTCCCCACCCCCGGAAACATTCAAGGTCAGGTTGGACGGGGCTCTGAGCAACCTGATCTAGTTCAAGATGTCCCTGCTCACTGCAGGGGGGTTGGACTAGATGACCTTTAAAGGTCCCTTCCAACGCAAACAATTCTATGATTCTATAAGTAATGACAGAGGATTAGGGTGAACAGTACTGGCATTAGTGAAGCCAAGAGGCAACAGGCCATGAGCTAAGACTTGCTTGATGGCCATCAACTACTGGAGGTGGACTTCCTTCCTGAACATTTAAAGTTAGCCACAGTTTTATTTTGGTTATGTTGTGTTTACTAGTAATGCAAAGAAGTAAAGCCAGTTACAAATCAACCATACCTTTCTTGAGGATAATTAATTTAAGCAGTGTATTACAACAGACTCAGTGGGGGAAAAGGATATACTAAATATACACATTTTCTGCCTAACTAGAAGCAGAAGCACCAATGTAATCTAATCAAACCCCACCTACCGTAGCAATTAGAATTCAGCAACTATTCAGTTATCCAACATGTATACATAGGTTTGATATTAAAATGCTTTGTTGCATATAAATTGAAATTAGTGGAAGATCTCATAGATCTCAAAATATTCTTTGTTACTAAATAAATTTTGAACCCAAGAGACCTCTGAAATGTTAGTATTTCTGAAATTCAACTAATCATGCTTTAGGTAACCTGAAAAGGCTTGGAATCTGTATAGAAACATACCATACCACACAACAGTTAAATGACAGGATTTGTTAATTTCTGGCATTTTAATGGCAATTACTGAAGAAGCAGTACGCACAGAAGTGTGTTTGTTCTGACCAAAAGCACAGGCATGTAAACAACACTTTGCAAAAGACAACACAGATCAAAACCAGCTAGTTTCTTGACAGCATTTTACATTACATTTTTAAAGATCCATTTACCAAACCCATATTAAACATGGTGTGAAGGGAAAGACGTTTTTCCCTCAGCAGCGTTGTACAGTACCTCTATAGTTCAGAGAAGGTTCAGACTGAGTTTTTGATGGAGGAACTGGAAAAGGCAGGCAATGAAAGGACAAGAGAAGACATATTAAAGTTCTAATATTGCCTCGTAAGCCACAATATTCATTAATTACTCCTAGTATTTGTTTTTCTAAGCATTACAGAAGAAAACGTTGACCAACAACAGACATGCAGAGCTGCTACTAGAAGCAGTTTAGCTGGGTTTGTATTCATTCCCGATTCACTCTTGAAGCTGCTTCAACTGCTAAATTGAATTATGTAAGCAGGTGGCAGCAGAGCTTGTCTTTTAATAATCCTTCAGCACTTGGTACTTCTGTTTCAGGGAAGGAGAGAATGACAAGCACAAAGTTTTTCTAGAACCTGCTCTTACAAGCACAGCCTATGCCTTCAGCACCTCTGATGCCTTACTTGTTAGTGGGAATGTGTTTTAAAAATCTGTCTGTTCTGATAACTACATAGGCTGGACATCTACTCAATGCACAATTCATAGACCAACTGCTACTGAAACCAATGGGATTATTTCTCTTGGAGATTACAGATGAGGAAGGAATTTGCTGGAACAAAGGAAACCTTTTGTAAATTTTATGTGTATTTACCAGTTTTCTCATCAGACACCATAGTGCAGAGTAAGAAGAAGGCAGAAAAGGCTAAAATACATTCAGGATCAGAGGGGTTTTATCATAATGAAAGGTATACCGAAACGTTAAAAAAAGAATAAAATATAAAAAAATTTCTGATACAGAGAGAAGCACACTATGAAGTGTTATATCATTTGCTGCTATAATTCCAGCCCTGAAATGAAGTCTTGGTTTTGACTGTACAGGCTACAACCGGATTTGATGACCAATATTGCACCAGTATATACACCATCAATTTCATTTTATAAGAAAAGAGTTTAAGGAAGGCTTAGGCTAATTACTCTGTAAGTTATCCCTGACATATGCTGAATGAATCCTGTTGAATACCTGTTGCTCCAAAATGGTTAGCCTAATTACAGTAAACATATCTTAAAAAACCAAACAAACATGCAATTGAGTTATGACATGTTGTCAGCCACTTTTTTGAGCATCCTAACAATTCAAAGGAAAAGGAGACATTTGGTTGACTTAAAAGTCTAAACTCAATGAAATTTGACACACACAGAGGTAGAACTGTCACTTACCAAAGGAGTTTGAAAGAAGAGACAGTTTATAAATAAATAACTGTATAAATAAAAAATAAGCCTGCTGCTCAGCACCTACAAGACTGATGTTACCTAAACAATAAATAAGGTCATTTACTGTGCTGGATGTGACACCGATTGAGACAAACTGCAGGCGACAATTTTAATGAATATCACTTTCTGACCTCAAAGGAAGTAGCGCTTGTCAATATGTATTTTTAAAGCAGGTATATTTTAAAGCACATCGCATAATTATGCTATTTGAATACACAATCAGGCTGATAAAATTCAAGCCCAAGGAGCTACCGCTACAATATCATCTACGAGAACAGAAAGTGAGGGTGAATAAACAAGAAAACAAAATTTTAAATACAAATACCTCCTAGCTCCTCTTCACTAAACCGTCAATATCTTCGCTCTTTGGAGGAGCCAGATCTGAACCTATCCACAGTCTGTTTCTCATAAGCCCTGGTCTGTTGCCTCTGCCTCTCGGTTTTCGCAGCTGCCATGACTATGGCATGTGGCTTCTTTCTTTCTCTCCAACCCACAGCACAGGTAGATGACAGGCTCTGCCTGGATGAGGCCCCCGTGTTACGCACATCTGTAGCGACAGCAGCTCCAGCAGGTAGCAAAGCTCCTCCTTTTGCCCTGCCCCAGGCCAACCTGCGCCCTGCCAGGGGCCAACCCGGCCTGGCGCAGGGCCCGAGAGGAACCAGGGACGGCTGGGCATGCTGCCATCCTGGCTGCCGCTCGGGGCACGGCTCACTGAACAAACCCACGCTGCTCTCCAGACCAAGATGTCACTCTGCTGTTTCAGCCGGGCCGCAAAGGAATGAGAGCACAAATGCTTTTAAGTTGCCCATAATACTGTTGGCACATCATCTAACCCTGCAGCGACTGCTTTCAGTCTCAGCTCACCTCTTTTTCTGTCCCAGGCGTACACCTCCTTTATCCCCAGCTCCTCCAAGGACTTGGTAAGCTCCAGCTCCTCCCCAGTAATGCCATCTCGCAGAAGAACAACGTGCTCTTGACTGACTTCACACTTTTCACAAATAGCTGGGATGATGTTGTGGAGAGGCACCTCCGGGCTAACTCGAACCACAGTCTTCTGCGTCTTCAGGTAGTTCACTACCAGCCTCACAGATTTCTGCAGAAACAAACAAAAACTCTCAGCCCTCCCTCCATAATGGCTAGGCTATCTCACAATGAGAAAGGCACTGGGGATTTCCATACTGTCTTGACTCCTCCTAGGCAAACTTAACCCACATGCATACTATTGCAAAAAATATTATTTAAAAAAAAAAAAAAATCTCAGAACTCCTCTGTCACTAAGGAGACATTGAAAAGAAAAGGCAAATAAGGAAAAGGAATCAAAGACAGCCGTAATTTGTGAATGTTTACAAGTACCACTCTGAAACGCATGACAGTGTAATTAGCTGTACTGATTCAGAATAACAAAAAACTCAGCAAATATACTTGGAAAATGGCTACTTCTGAGTCTTCACAATACTGTGAAATACATTTATTAACCAGTCTTATCCCATATATTCAATAAAGATGGCAAACAAAATACCACCAAAACCCTACTTACCTCCACACAATCCCACAACCCTCATTTCAGCCACTACTGCAAATTTCAATCAAGGGTCTTTATTAAGAACAGATTTCCATCTATCCAACCACATACAACATAGCATTTTGTCTAAATGCTGGAGTCCAGACCAGCACCTGCCAGTTTGCGTGCAAATCAGTTAAGCTAGTAAAGCAGGTTATAGTCAATCTCAAGACTCTCCCATCTGTTTTGAAGATGCAAAGATTGGAAGAACTGCTTGAAATCAGGGGAATGAAATGATGCTTCATGGCACCATTTTAGCCCCACAGAGTACTGACCTCAGGGACCCGTGGCAGAGGTCGCTTTGTCTTCTCTTCTGGAACCTTCTCTTTCAGAAGTACCGTCTGCACGTCCAGTGCTCCTACCAAAGTGTTTGGCTTGTAACTCAGAGGTTGTTGAGTTCCCGAAGACTTCAGTTCAAGACTATGTTGGGATGGATTTAGGCGATTCTGGCTGCATAAATCAACCAATAGATCCATCACAGCTTTACTGCAGGGCAGAAGACATTCACTGTTAGCATGAGAAAAAGCAGTTACTAAAAAATTTATCTCAGTTTTAATACAGGAGAAAAAAAGACAATACAAGCTGTAGATGTGTCACCAGTTAACCATCTTTGGGAGGGAACAGTGCTAATGCTTTACAGTGCTAAACAGATCACATAAAATGTTAGGAATTAAATATATTCGCACTTCAGTGTGTATTTATGAGCTGGCAATTAACTATTCACTATGAGGCAGACAACAGTGCCAATAATAGCACTAACAAACATGAGCCAAGAGAGGACAAAGTGCATCTTAGCTGCTAAATCCATACATTAAATTCTCCAATTCAAACCCTGTTCTTTAACATGAAGACAAGATATAAATAAATGATGCACTCACGGTACAGTAAACTCTACCTAGATTTGAACCATCACATAACGCAACTCAAAATGGAATGTTTAAATCTGGAGCAAAAGATAGACAGGATTTTTTTTCCCAGCTCACAACTTTGAGTCCCGTCCCCCCCTCAATCTATTTGACACCAGCAATATTTCCCAGTACAAGAGATCCCTTCCATATTTATTTTGGTGAGGATATTAATCCTGTATAAAAACATGCGGTTTCAAGTATTTGCATTATCGAGAAGTCTTATTGCAGATGTGATTCTTAAACCACGAGGTTAAAAGAGTCAGTCACTGCCCCTCTCTTACCCCATGCCTCTGAATGGAGGTACTCTGTTTTGTGTCAGTAACTCAACATTCACTGGAGCTTGATACTGCCCGATAGAACAGATACGAATTATGTTCCTCCGCACCCCAGAAATTCTCTTGTACCAAGGTACTGAAGGGTTCTTTTTTATCAACTGTCCTCCCTAAAGTTCCATCCAGGATCAGAGAAAACAGGTTTATTAAAACTGGTTATGTTTCTGAAAAATTTTGGTTTCATAAACCAGTCTCTGTCACCAACAGAACAACGCAAGTTGAAAAAAATTACCAGCCGTACCTGAAGCCTGTCATATACAGGGGATATTTTCTTCTAGCAGAAGTGAAAATAAGTGCATAGACAGCATATTTGCCAAAGGAATTGGCATCTCTTCTAATGTGTAAACTGCAAAAACTATACAGGTTCAAAATGCAAGCAAATCAAAGAAAATACAATCCTTTACAGGTTATTAGCTACCACTGTTACATCTGTAGCTCAAGAACTGCCCTTCCATTGCAAGCTGTTGTCATCTGCGAAACAACTCTCGGGGCGGGGTGGGGGGGCTGCCCATCTTCCTTCTATGTATATGTTGTTGGCCAACAGCTGCTCAAGAAGTTGGTGAAGAACCCTGGAGAGCTAATGGCAAAGACAAGAAGAATGGAAAACAAGAACGATCCCTTATTCATAGGCGAAAGACTAAAACATACGCAGGTGACAGCTCTTCCCATGCAAGAGGTGAGAAAGGACCTTCTTTACAGTAACCTATTTCAAGTGTAACCGAGTTATGCAGTGTGAGCTGAAAAAGTGGCAAATGTGGAAAATCTGAAATAGGTGATCACATTGAAAAGAGAAGAACAGTGAGAAGATCATGACTGAAGATCAAACAAGGAAAACAGATGTCATTAATATGTATAGGAGGCTTCAGAAAAATAGAGCACTGTGGTAACTGCTAACATAGAGAGCATCTAAATAGAAACGTGTAGTATCTAAATCGAAACTGTATCAGGTCATTTCATGATGACTTATTCTGGCACTGTTCCCAAGTTGCAAATGTCTGTATGTCACAACCGTGTTTAATTCACATGTAACACACCACAAACCAACAGAAACATTTACACCTACTAAGTCCAAACTGTAGGAGAACCCCACCTACACTGATTTTTACATGAATATTCATTATGCTGTGCAGCAGTGAGCATTTTAAAATGTGTCAGTCTACCTGATACAGATCTCAGCTTGTCTGTTTACAGACATATTTCTTTTAAAGTGAAATTTGCATGTGTTTTCTTCCCCCCAGTCTTATTACTATTGTTTCAGAGAAAAGCAAATAACCTTGCAGAACCACAATACATGGTGTTCTATGTTCTGTTTAAAGTAGAATGCTAATATATTTCTGTAGTGCATAACATTGTGATAATTCATTCAAATTTGGATGGCTATCTTACCTCATATAAACTATTTCATTAAAAACACTTTTTTAAAAAAAAAAAAAAGCACTTGAAAAAGGATTTTTTTTTTAAATATAGTTTGTCAAAAGAACACTTTGTGACTCCATGCACCTTCCACTGAAATTATGAAATATGTTCAGCAGCAACAATACCACAATTACAACAAGATTAGAATCCACACCAGCCATCTCAGAAAACAGGTTGCAGACAATCATGCAAGTTGAACAAATTTGTCCGGACAATGAACAATTTAAAAATCCAGCCAAGTTTCATCTTATTGTTGATTACAGAGCAGGTGTGTGTTAAATATAACACTTAAGGAGGTCTGCAACATCCCATCCTGAGCCATGCTGCTCAGAATACACAACCGTTCCATGAAAAGCATCCCCAGGCTTCATATGTACCACTCAGGAGTACAAATTAAGCAACATCTCTGAAGCTTTTGAAACAACTTCAAAGTGAATAGTATGCTCTTCCCAAAATGTAAATTTGGGAAAATAATTTCCACAAAACTTCAAAAGGATTAAAAAAAAAAAAAAAGAAAAGAAAAAGAGAGGAATTCTACAAACAAAATTCAAAATTCATGTGTTTCAGAGAAGTAAGAGAGCTGGGAAGTCCTTGCAATGAAGTTATTCTTATATCAGATTTCAATTTCACCAACTTAAAAAATTTTCCTTCTAAACTGTAATACAGTTCAGCCTGATTTTAAGTGGGAGTTTCATTTCAAGTAACTCCATGTATACGCCACACACAGAAGCGAGCCACTAAACACAGCAAGAGAATGCTACTGAGCCATCTACTAATCTAGACCAACTTTTCTTTCTAACCTTGGGCTGAATATGGCTCTTTGAAGATGCAAAGAGTCAGTCCTTCCTTTGCTTCTATCTCGTTCCAGACATATCTGCACTTTATTTTAACCTGCTTTTGAGACCTAGTAGAGAACATATTCTATTCTGAAATTCAGGCAGATCTGATCATAAAGGATTAAATCTAAAGCTGAAATGAAGATGGGAAATGTCTCCTGCCTTTCCAACTACTCAGCAAAGAAACACATTACTTTTTTATTTTAAAAAGACGTTGTGGTTTAACCCCAGCCAGCAACTAAACACCATGCAGCCGCTCGCTCACCCCCCACCTCTGGTAGTATGGCGGAGAGAATCGGGAGGGCACAAGTAGAAAAACTCGTGGGTTGAGATAAAAACAGTTTAATAATGGAAATAAAACAAAGTAGAATAGTAGTAACAACAATGATAACAACAATAATGGAATAGACAAAGCAGGTGATGCACAATGCAACTGCTCACCACCCACCGACCGACGCCCCGCATGTCCCAAACTGTGAGAGCCCTCCCTTTTCCCAGACCACATCTCCTAATTATATACTGAGCATGACATCACATGGTATGGAATCCCCCATTGGCCAGCTGGGTCAGCCACTCCGGCTATGCTCCCCCCCTAGCTTTTCCCATATCCCTGGCAGAGCACGGGAAGCCGAAAAGTCCCCCGTGCCAGCCCCACTTGGCAACAACGAAAACATCAATGGGCCATCAATGCTCCTCTCATATCAAACCCAAAACCACCCACCCACCCCTGCCCCCGCAGCTGCTGAGAAGAAAGTTAACTCTGTCCCAGCCAGAACTAAACCAGACGTCGCTGAAATTTTGGGTGGAGAGACCAAACACTATGTGTCAGACACCAAACATTAATGACTGACAAGCAAATACTAGAGCACAGAAATAAAACTGGAGGATGAACCCAATTTAAGATTCAGACAAGATGGTCCAGATGACTATTCTTAGCAAAGGAGAGTACTTTGACTCTGTCTTTACATTCTGTTACTAAGCTGTTTGACATTTAACACCAATTCTGGACAGTAAAGAATAATTACTTTGTCAGCAACATTTGTCAGATTGAAGTCCCTGATCAAGTTTGAGCGTGTCAGACCACTTGTATTCTGTTGTTCACCAGTAAAATGCAGCAAAGACGTCTATAGTTTAAGAGGCAGAAAACAACTGAGTCGTTTTGGGTGTGGCTTGGCCTAATCTCCTTTGATCACATAGAGAAATCCATTTTAAAATACAGCCTTGTACATCCAGGAGATAGATGCGTAGGATGAACTTGTACTCTATCAAATGACATTGACTTTCCTATTACTTTCTACTTTCATGCTACAAATGCCCCAAAAAAACCCCTCGAACTGGAGGAAAGAATTTTCTTTATTTAGGTCAATGCCAAACGTACATTAGGAATCTAAAGTGACAATTGATTGGAAAAGAAAAACACTAGTGTAAAGGGGGTGACCTGAAGTCTCTAACGGTTTCACTATCTGCATTTAAAAGCAGAAAATAGCGTTAGTCATTATTATTTTCTTATGCTCCAAAGCACAGCAGGCACTTCATAAAAAGATTAGAAGTCTTCCGACACAACCAGAAATGTAAACACTAATAGCAAGCTGCATCAAAAGAAGTACAGGAAGCATGATAAACAGATATTCATAAATGCTTTCTATTTCTTTTCTTATTCTGCTCATGTATATTTGGCTCTTATCTTCCATAATTGAGCAAGTCCACAGAAGGAATATCAATACGACCCACAAAAAGAGGCAGAGGACTGGGTTTGTTGAGCCTTAAGATGAGAAGGGTGAAGGGAGATTTTGTTGCTGTTTACAAGTACCAACTGGTGGGGTTACAGATCCGGACTCTTCTCGGTGGTGAACAGCAAGAGGACAACAAGCAAGAGACAAGTGCCAACATAGGAAATTCCATTTAGGTACAAGGAAACATTTTTTCACCACGAGGATAGTCAAGCCCTGGAACAGGGGTACAGAGAGGTTCAGAAACCTCCTCCCTGGAGGTATTCAAACTTGTCTGGAGACAACCCTGAGCAAAACCTGTTCTTGTGAGACCTGCACTGAGCAGGGAGTTAGAGCAGGTGAGTTCCAGTGGCCCCTTCCAACATAAATTATTCTGTAAATTATTCTAGTAAGAATTTTTTTTTTTAAAGCCTACATTGAACTACTGTAGTTTTGACCTGACCCCTATCTAGTTAAGCTCATTTTTAACCTTTTTGCTGTATATGCCCTGTTCATCTGCTTCTAACACCACCTCTTTCATGTTTTACCAACCTGGGCTGATTTCACACCTTCAGTCTTTCTTGAGACACCATTCTCTATGTTGAGCTCTAAGCCCACAACTAATATCACTTAAGTCTCTTTCACTGAGAATTATGTGCAAATATTCTTTCTGTGATGACATTAGCTTTATGCTCCATGTAACGCATACTCTGCACTGAGCTCTGTCCTCCAGTATTCACAGAATGAGACTACAGCTTCAGCTAGTTTACTATTTGTTCTAGTACCCTGCTCTCTGTGCACCACATGTACAAGTAACATGTAAGGTAACAGCAGGAACAACAACTGTCCAGTCCGCTCTTCTGCCTATCAGTCATCCATGTAGTGACAACTCCAAACCAAACATCATTTAGCTTCAAACATTCCCATTTTTCTGCAATGTATTTCAAATACTACTGACTTCTCAAACTGCTGACACTAAAGGTCTGTATCTGTGTTAATCAGGAAGTCCTCCTCAGTGTCACTCAATGTGAATGGAGGCAGACGCATAATCCCTTTATTTATAGGTAACTCATTGAAAGTATTACCTGTGAGAATTAGAAACAAAAAAGGTTTCTGGTAACTCTTGTGAGCTTTTCCACTTATCTTCTTTCTACATGTCTAGTCATCGCCTCTGTCAGACCTGCTAACAGTTTGTGTGGATGTGCTACAGATCCATAAGCATAAACTGTGTAAGTGGCCAATGCTCTATCCTCTCACAACATCATATAGTTCTCATACAACGGTACAAATACAGATTAGTTGTGGGGGTATTTTATAATCCTTTTCAGGGGGGAGAAGGCTAACACTTTTTCATGAATACTTTTAAATGTTTTACAGCAGAGTTCACAGAGACCAATTATTTCAAAAAAGAAAAATGTTTTTTAATACCATTCTATTGCTGCACAAACTCCTTAAAGACTCAACTTTGTCCTAAAATCTGCACTATGTATTTCCAAAATCTGGAATAAATTGTATGTTACAAGATGGCAATAAACTCTTAGAGAGAGACTAACAGCTTGAGTTAACTTAATAAACCTACTTAAAAATTCCAGATTCCAATAAAATATCTTTAAATAGCACACACTTTCTTTTTTTCCTGAACTATCTTTCAAGAAAATTTAATGAGAATTTTCTGCCCTCTTGATGATATAGGAACTTTCTATATAGAGAACAAACTAAAATTAACATGCTGCTTTGCTTACATACAATGAACAAACTGAAAGAGATAATTTTGACTTTTAACTTGGTGCATTTAAAATAACCTTAAGTGATACTAATTAACTATAGTAGTTATATTTTCAAACATCCTCTAGTGTACTTCATCGCTCTGTGAACTGCTTTCCTGAAATTACAGAATCATTTTTCATTATGATGATGCCCTGGGCAAGGTTTTGCAAATTTTTCTGCAACAGAAAAGCTATTTCCCCAGGGCACCGAAAAACAGATTTAGCAGAATGCAGTTTTAATGATGGCAATGAAAATACTGAAGATTTATACCAGTATAAACAACAGCAGAATTTGTCTGAAATGTCCTTCCATGATATCACCATAGATAAAAGGAGTGAACAGGGAAAAGAATTTATTACCTGCACTGGTTGCCATACTTGCTTCAAACTAAACAGAACACTTTTTTTTTAATTCCAGTATCTTCATCATTAAATGTTTACCTCTAAGTATCATTGTACTTTGTAGCTGTCCATTTTGCAATGTCAAAACAATGCGAAAAGATGAAAAAGCCTGGGCTTTCACCCAAACCCGGAGACTTAAGACAGTCCATCTCCTAAAAATTTCAGATGCTCTTGACATTTTTTTTTTTGGTATTCCACATCCCTAAAAACGCCACCAGTGTTAGTGTACGGAAAATTTCACCTTCCAGTGGTTAGAAAGAACAGCAGCACACACAAAGGCTGTTCACAGACTGGTGCCACTATACTACACGGCTCATTATAGGGTATCCTTTTCGTATTTCATAACTTGTAAGGATGATTTACTCCCTTCCTCAGTTTCCATAATCTTCCACTTCCCACAGCAGACTATCAGTGCCTTACATTTGTCACTAACTCTCCACTCCAAGTGCTCAAGACAGTGCTGAGGGAGAACACCTACTACCTAAGTTAGGCAGCGGTGATAGTTAGATTAGCAGATTAGCACAAGCAGGAATTTAATTGCCGCTTAAATCAGGGGCCTAGACCTGTCATGCAGAGAGAAGTGGGCACCTTCACAGAACAACGAAGAGAACATTTTGGTTGCTTAGAGTGCTTAACGTAGACAATATAAATAACCCCACAGAAACGTCTAAGGTTTAATTTTTGACATTTCTTTCAGGTTTTAACCCACAAACTAAAGACTCTAATAATCAAAATACTCAGTCTCAGTGTATGTGACAGCAATGGTAGTGATAATAAATACCTGTATGAGAGACAGAATATTTATTGTACAGGGATTTTCCATTTGTTCTCTGCTCCTGTAGCTTTTAGGGACTTCAAAAGGTCACATTAAAACACCACTCTTGTAGTGCTGTTGGAGTGTTTGTTCTAGGGTTTTTTCTTTTTGAGGGAAAAGAAAATCTTTTCTAACCATATGGCAATTATGTATCTCTCTATACAAAATGCTGCATGAAAATTAGCCTCTTGTTAGCTCTCAGGTGGCTTGCATTTGCCAGTGAAACACCAGCCTTCTTTGGGATCTAACAGCCAGTGAGTTTCATGTCCTGTTCTACTTTCCAGGCCTTTTCTTTCTCTCATTAAGTCCAAATCTCCCTGTAAAAACTCGATCACTAGATGTATAATTTGAGAGCTCTGATAAGCACTGCTTTCCTTTAAAACCTTTAACATCACTCTAGCTTTGGGGCTGACCCACACAAGTTGCACTAGTCTCCTCAGAGTGGTTAAGTGAACACTAACTTCTACAAGAAAAGTAGGGGGGAGAATGAAGTCCCAGACACTCTGCACTGCTGTACACATCCTCCTCAGCCATCAAAATACACTAATAGACGAACAGTCAAAATAGACTAATATATCAGACCAAGAAGAGTCATTTTACAGGAATGCAGACTAACGACTGCAAACCCCAAATGTAAAATAAGCACAGGTCCTGATTTATCAACAGGCATCAACATATCCTCCTAATCTGGTATTATTACTTTCTAGGGTTTCTTGACCACTGCTGACTACACCATTGTTTGCTACAGTTTCATCATAGTATTGAATATATTTTTAAAACTCTTCCAAATTCTTTCTTTAAGTAGTACGTTTCCCTCTTTCAAAACAGTTCTCGCAGAGAGGATGAGGAGAAGGAAGAGCTCCCACGGTGAAGAAAATTATCTCAAAACTGCCTTTCCAATACAATTTGCCCTTGATGGTACCCAGCGACAAGGAGAATCTCTCTCTTCCCGTGGAAAAAAAACAACGCACTTTTACATAGAAAAGACTTCCTAAATACCAGCAGATGCTTTGCTGTCTACACAATCGCAATGTATTTGTGAAGGCAGGATCTCTGAATGTGATGAACCATTCATCTTCCGAGCTTGCTTCTCTGCATGACCCCAGACAGGCATACTGTCAGGATTGCTGTTTGCCAGCAGCACCTATTTCCACTGCACCAAAACCCCTCTGTATTATTAGATGTGATACAGCCTAAGACTAGCCCAGTGGCACTACATGGAAGAGAGAGATCCATACACGTGCTGAGGACGATCCATGGGGAAAACAGTGACACAATAGCTGCTAAATCCCTCCTGCCCCAGCAGAGAGGGTCCTTCATACATGGCTCTTGGGAGTCTCTGGTACAACTGCCTAAAATGCAGAGAGAAGCATGACAGAGAAACCCCATCAACCCAGAAAGGGAGACATTAGTATCAGCAACTATCCCACTGGGAACAGAGGGCTTCAGAAAGTGGGAGCTAATCAAAGCCTTACCTTCCTTGTACTGTGCTCTTCTGCTCCACCCCGCTGGGTAAAACGACTGTGAAGTCCACCGATCTGTTTATCATGTTCTCCTTCATGCTCACAAGGTTCTGATCAGAAATTACAGCTGTCTCTGCAGGTGACTTTTGCTCACTGTGAATGCTACTTGTTGCAGAAGCTTGATTTGGTGGAGGAGGAGCGCGAGCTTTCATTCTTCTCCTTGAGAAATAAAGGCAAGAAGAAAATTAATAATGTCTCATGAGCAAAGTATAAACACATGAATAAGAAAATATGTTCTTTCAGCCATAATCTCAGATTGTTTTAAAAAAGCTCCTCTAATGCAAGCCGTTTTTCTTTATCATGAAACTTTTCAATGGAATTGCATTTTATTTTTACCTCCTCTCTAAAAATATGCTCATTTTTTAATGATGCACTCACTCCTACTGTTTGCTTTCCATGCCCCACGGAATGAATCAGTTCCATAATTAGGATATGAAATAATCATTATTCTGTCAAGCATGAAGCATGCTCCTATGAAGAGAGAAACAAATACTGGGCCCAGTCCAGACCCAACTCAAGAAGGAGTTGTATTTACGTAAATGAATGTTTCCTCCAAGTCAGAACGGCAGGAGCTGAGGCAGGGTGAGGTTTCATTCAGCTATATTTGGGTTCCACAGTATTAGTCTACTTGAAATATTGTCTCTTCCTCTGCTCTGAGTAAGTAGTATTAAATTTGGCTCACTGTACTTCATAGGGAAGCACCATGAAAAGGTCAACCATGAATGACATCACTTCTTACTATGCAACGCTAAGAGACTATAGCTCTTTGAAAGCACCCTGAAGAGAACTCATTCTTCAGTAGCAGGCTATGTGCCATAGGTGACATACAGAAAAGCTGCATCAACTTGCACCAAACAAGCATGTACTTTACAGAGATATAAACTCACCACAAACTCAAAGTGGTACTTCATTGGCAAGCTGCCAGACAGATAAGCAACATATGTGCACTGTTAAACTTCTGAATAGCTGGTCTCATACCAAGCACATGTCTAAGAGGATTAATTCTGATGATTAATATCCCAGTGATCCCTTCAGACTAGATTTATGCCTAGTTTAAGTCAGATTTTAGCATAACAGATGGAAAAAGCAGTAAAATATTTACTGAGAAATTACTACCCAGGCTTACTGCCTGCATTTTTTAATCTGCCTGGGTTTAGGGTGCAGGAAGAGAAGAGATTATGATTCTGCACATCATTTTCACCCTGTGAACAACATAAACAGAGGTCCAGAAAAGAAGAGTACAGAAAAAGCACTCTAACCCTTAAAAGCCTGCAAAACTTCATGATTGAATCAGCCAAGGGCAAAACTATGTTTAGGAAAAAACAAAAAACAAAAAAAACCCCACAAACTGAACAGGATTAATACCAAACCAAATTCTTCTTTAGTAAGAGACAATGTGAATTCTCCAGACAACAAGACTAAACATACAGTTTGGATTATCAATGGAAGCTCCTGGCAGAGAAAAAGTAAGAACAACATCACATCACAAAAAAAAGAGTTCAGAAACAATCCAAATCCTCTACACTTTTTAATCAGTATTTGCATTTGACCAACAATTTCTATGACATGTTTCAACTTGCAAAAAATCACTACAGTGCCCTGAAAATGCACATTTCAGTGAGACCTCAGCAGGACACTAAAACTAACAGTGATGCAGATACTTCCTTTCACTTCCTGTGTGCATAACAAATAGCATTCCCTACAGATAGGCAGGTAGAGCTACTGCCATATTTACTAGCATACAGCAATTTCTCTTCCATAGGAAATTTTCCCTGAACATTCACTTTTTATCCTACATACACTCAGTAAATCATGCAGTTGTCACTAACTTGCAGCTCCTACGCTCCTCCCCATGGAGGTGATGATAAAAAGTTCAAGGCTTTACTGTTTGTCAAACTACTTTGACTTTCTATATGTCTGTGAACCAAACTCTTATTGCTTTTCTATAAAAGAAAAAAAAGGAATTGGGATAATTTTCTGCTCAGATTCCTCTACGTTTCACTACAGTTGTTATTTGTAAGCAGGTGGTGAGAGACATGGGAGTTTTGCATAAATCCAGATCATGCCAATGTAGCTTTACAATCATGCGGTGCAACGTTTAAGGACTTCAGATCGATTTACAAATGATGTAATTCTTGCCCTCCGTAACATCAACTGCATCAATGTAAGTAGCTACAGAGATTCACGTCAACTTGTTTCTTAAAACAAGCTTTTCTTTTTTGTTTTTAAAGCTTGTCCTACAATGTGGGGAGACAATCTCCAATACAAAGTACCAAAGGGGGTGGGAAGAAAAGAAACAGGCAAGTGTCCTGAGCCTGGCAGAACTATTTTTTTTTATTATGCTTTACCTGGACTTGTAAATTCCAGATCTCACAGTGAACAGAGAGGAAATAAAGCAATGGTAATGAAATAAACATGAAACTGAAACCAGCTAAAACTGAAGAGACTTAAAACTTCAGGGGAGAAGTGAAGAACGACTGAGTTTTGAAGCTGATGAAGGAGCTGGAAGTAAATTGGGAGTATGCTACACACGTTTGTTCCCTAGCAATAACGTAAAGCTGCATGTGGTTTTCTAAAGGAACAGACAAACAAGGTCAGACACCTTAATACCAATTTATAGCTCTGAAATGGGAGTGCGATTTTTATTTGGCCACTTTTTAAGTACTCTTTACAGTCAATTCTGCAGTTACAGACCCTATACAACACTGCTTGGGTCCAGGGGGGTGTGTCAGGAAATCAGGCATCATACCATCAAAAGCATCAACTATGCATTGACTAGCGATGTTCGCTTTACCTCCATAAAATACGTAACAATGTGTATTCTTTTTGGCATTATGGTCAGGGCCTTTTAGATACTACAATCCTCCTTTTCTTTTGTGCAAAAGAGACAGTGCAGGTCTGTTTCCTTCAGAGAAATCAGAGAACGGAAAAGGGAAAACATTCCCACTACAGTCTCTCTAACCTAGCAACAGTTCAGGTGACCTCATACGAACTTTTCCACAATAGCAACTACACATTCTCTTGAAACACTGCGACTGCTTTAAATGCCTGGTTTTCAACATTTTCCAAATGACAGATTTCAACCTACTTCAGTGGAAGCAGATCCCTTCAAAGTTCACATTTGTAGAGTGATACGTGGCACAGATTTGCATTTCCTAGCCAACTTTCTGAAACATCTCAGTAGTAGAAAGTAGCTCCATGAATCGCAGACTGAAATCCACAGCTCTAGCTCTACCTTGGATCTGCAGGAGCAGCTGCTTGCTGACCAGCTTCAGCAACTGCAGTCAGAAGGTGCCGAGAAGCCTGTTAATATTATTGAATGAGAGTCAGAAAAAGGATTCAGCTTTCTCTGTCAGAGCTACAATGGTTATAAAGGACAATACAAATGCACTCCATAGTAAAAGCCTTTTTGTTCCCCCACTAAAATACTGCACAGAGAAACTGTGTGATTTAAAAGCCTCCTTTAAGCACTGGTACTTTCCACGCTATAAACATAACATACTATAAAAAAGCTGCATACCGTTCTTCAGTATGAGCTAAATTCCAAGTAAATTCAGCTCAACAGCAATTTTTTTTCCACAAACATCTTTCACTGTGCTCAGTACTGAGATAATTGCTAAGCTCCCCTACCTGCTATTAGTCTGCAGATGAAGTTACAAGCGGGAATACTTCAAACCTATGATTCACTCATGGTTACATGAATGCTTCGATCCAGTCCTTGATAAGGAGACAGAGTAAAAACAAGCAGCTGATTCTAATACAGGTGCCTCTAATATACAGTGCCTTTTACCAAGGCTTGAAATAGTTCATCTCACTTTATTGTAAGCTGAAAAAAATGCACGTAGCCATGAAATAATTAGAATACATAAATAACCTACCAGCACTGTTCTCAGTAACAGCATCAGACTTCCCAGAATGGAAAAGGAAAAACAACAAGCGAACTGACGAACAAGACCAGCGTTTCTGTAGTACAGCATGTAGAACAAATGCAACAGAAATGAAGAAAAGTTTCACCAGATTAAGAACTTCAAGACAAGGTAACACAAGCCCTTTGGACCTACACTTTATTAATATGTAACTACCAGGCAATAGAATGTGACCTGGACTTTACAATCACATGCTGAAAAAACATGATCTCTCTTTGAAACACAAGTGGTCCTGGGACTTCCACCCTCATGGCAACGCTATGCAGAGATTGTCTTTTTTCAGATAAGGTCTAACACAAAAAAAGAAGTGATCCTACACATTTCCACCATGCTCAAAAAAAAATCTGGAACTCTCTCTGCCCTGTAAGGCAAAGGCAACTTAACAGGTACAGGGCAGACTTCATGCCATGGATGTCAGCAAAAAAGAGCTCCATACTACACCAGTTTGTACAATCTGGTCCTTCTATGCCAATTCTCTCTCTAACCATTCAGTTTAAACAAAAAACCCCAACCAAACAAAACCAGAAAAACCCCAAACCAAACCAAAAAAACAACCAACCCAAGCAGAATTATGGGCAACGCTCATTTTTGATATAGTGAACAACTAGCACAGGACCTCCAACCCAGTCAAGTCAATTTGCAATCTTGTCAATGCACAAGCCTGGAACAGTTGCAGAGGGTTTCTCCGTGGCATTCGTGTGCACCCCATCTCATAATCAGGAGGAATAAATCAACATGAGAGTGCTCAGTGATGAGTGCAGTACACAAGCACAGTGTCCCTTGGGTGGAAAACAGGAGCCATTTAAGTAAACATTCTCAACTTTCAGGTGATTGCACTCCCACAGTCTTCTGAGGGGAAATCTATGCACATTGCTGTTTGAGGGAAAAAACCAGCACCTCCACTCACTCACTCTCGCTCTCTGTCTCTCTCTCTGGCAACTTGCACAGCAAAGCTAGAAACCCAGCCCTGAGGCACACCTCATACTCCAAACCATCAAGACACAGACAGCATGGTAGAAGTCACTCCTGCCTAGTGATCTAGCCTGCAAAGCAGATATTCTTCAGAGGACATTTCTTTTTCACTCCTTGTTGCTCATGGCAAATTAAAGAAAACCCAGACCACAGGCTGGGAAAAAGACACCCGCTATATCGGAATTAATAGTATGCCAAGTTCCCTCTTCGTAAGTAAAATCCTTTCAGCTTCTAGAAACAGCAGCTCAGAAAAATTATAACGC